ATGGTCACAGGCTCCAGTTCTCCTGGGTGTCCTCAACCACCCTGATATTTGTTGGAGAGACAACACAGTTTGGCACACACAGTCCAGGAAGTTCCTGCAGATTATTGATGAAAACTTTTTAAGGCAAGTGATGGAAGAGCCAATGAGGAGAGATGTATTGCTGGACCTTGTGCTATCAAACCAGGAGGGACTGTTTGAATACATGAAGGTTGGGGGCAGCCTTGGCTGTAGTGACCATGAGGGCAGAACTCAGGATCCTGCATGGAGGAAGCAAAGCAGTAAGCAGGACTAGAACTCTGAACTTCTAGAAAGCTAACTTTGACTTTTTCAAAGACCTACTTAAAAGGTATCCCATGGGTTAGGGCCCTAGAAGAGAAGGGGGTCCAAGAGAGCTGGTCAGTATTCAAGCATCACTTTCACGAAGCTCAAGACCAGTGTATCCCCATGAGTAAGAAATCAAGCAAAGGGGGAAGGAGACCTGTATAGGTGAGCAGGAAGCTTCTAGTAAATCTCAAATGGAAGAAAAAAGTTATGGGATGTGGAAAAAGGGACTAGCCACATGGGAGGACTATATGGATATCGTCAGAATATGCAGGGATGTGACAAGGAAGGCCAAGGCCCACTTGGATCCACAAGAGCAAGTGTATGGTCCTGCACCTGGGGAGGAATAACCCCAAGTACCAGTACCAGTTGGGGGCAGACCTACTAGAGAGCAGCTCTGCAGAGAAGGACCTGGGAGTCTTGGTGGAAGACAAGTTGACTATGAGCTGTCTGTGCCCTTGTGGCTAGGGGACCCAATGGATCTTGGGATGCATCAGGAAGAGCGTGGCCAGTAGGTCAAGGCAGGTGATCCTCCCCCTCTACTCGGCCCTAGTGAGGCCATATCTGGAGTATTGTGTTCAGTTCTGGTCTCCTCAGAACAAAAAAGACAAGGAACTACTGGAGACAGTCCAGTGGAGGCCACAAATATGATTAGGGGTCTGGAGCATCTCTCTTATGAGGAGAGGAGACTGTGGGAGCTGGGCTTGGTTAGTCTAGAGAAGACAGGGGATCTTATTAATGCATATAAATGTCTCAAAGGCAGGTGCCAAGAGGATGGTCCCAGACTCTTTTCATTGGTGCCCAGCAACAGAACAAGGAGCAATGGCCACAAACTGAGATACAAGAAGTTCCATCTCAGCATGAGGAAGAACTTCTTTCTATTGAGGGTGGCAGAGCACTGTAATAGCTGCCCAGGGAGGTGATGGAGTCTCCCTATCTGGAGACATTCAAAACCCACCTGGAGGTGTTTGTGTCACCTGCTCTAGGTGACCCTGCCCTGGCAGAGGGATTGGACTGGATAATCTCCAGAGATCCCTTCTAACCATAACTATTCTGTGATTCTGGGAAGAGGATGTGAATCTAGTATAATACTAGGAAATGTGATGAAGAATGTAGGTAAGATAGGTGCTTTTCCACTGTAGAAAAAGAAAAGGCTCTCAGACATTAAAAAAAGGTCTTTGATGAAGAAGAGTGGCTTCAATCTGAAAAAAATTAATGCATATATTATATATTTGCTTAAATTTAAAATTTGAATTTATATACACATACTGTAGGAGCAGACTAGGTAAAAATTAAAAATTCAGAAGAAATAATTTATTTTTAAAAATTCTTTCTTTTAGCTATGAGGGGAATAATTTTTCAGCATCTAAATTATTTTCTGCTGAAATACATTTTTTATTTGCACACTGACAATATAACTATGGCTTTCATGAAAGCTTGATATGGTGCTTCAAATGAAGAAAAAAGATATGTCCTTAAGGAAAAACTAAGATTCCCTTCTGAGTGTAGTGGCAGTGGTTTCACAGATGTTTTCAAATGACACAGGAATTGTCATTTTTGGAACCTTGAATTGGTGAAGGGAGAAACCTATATATGTGCAAGTAAAACGTAGCAGCAGATAATTATTGTTTACATTTTGTTCCTGAGGCCTCTCAGCTTCTCAGGAGAAAAAATCCTAAGGAAAGGATTTTTCATAAAATGCATCTGTGACAGATTTCCTTGGAGGAAAGTGGAAAAAACCTGTTTATTTAACAGGCAAAGCATTCACCAGCACAAAAAATGAACAATATTAAACAATAAAACTTCTTGCCAATCTGAAGAGATGACAAACTCAGAAAGTCCTTTTCGTGGATTGCAGCTCAGCTCACCCAGTCTGTTATCAGTCCCTCTGGCGCTGGAAATGCCATGGCCCAGGCCTGGCCCAGTGGGCCACAGGTGCGAGCTCCCGGTGCTCTTCTGGGTTTTCAGTCCAGAGCAGGTTTAAACAGTTCCAAGAAAAAGAAAAACCACAGTCCAGGGAACTTGTCTGCCTCAGCTAGCTAAAAACTAACTAAAAGCAAAGGAGAGCTCTTTCCCGCCATCTGTCCATGCTGCAGACAACACAGTCCAGGAGAAGGATGTGGGGGAGCAAGTGCAGTTTCTGATAACAAACTCTGTGCTTCTTCTCTCTTCCCCCCTTGGCTCTCAGAACCAGTCTTAAAGGTGCAGAACTTATTATCCAGCATAAACAGAACAGATGATTGGGGATGCAAGCATCATAAAGTCACCCCAGGACACCTGACTAGAAAAGAATGGTGGAAACATCCTATTGTGACTGGCCCAGAGGCCCTGTGCATCCTTGGCTTAGATTACCGAAGGAGAGGGTATTTCAAGGACCCAAAAGGGCATTGTTGGGCTTTTGGGATAGCTGCTGTGGAGACAGAGGGAATTAGACAGCTGAGTACCTTGTCCAGTCTCTCAGAGGACCCTTCTACTATGGCACTCCTACGGGGCAAAGAACAATGAGTTCCAATTACTACCACTACAGTGCACTGTCAACAACACTGCACCAACTGGGACTCCGGGACTCCCATCCACAGATGATTTAAGGAGAGACAGGGAGTGATCAGCAAGACTTACCCTTCAATATCCCCATATGGCCAGTGCCTAAGTCCAATGGAGAGTTGAGACTGATAGTGGACTATCATGACCTGAACAAAGTCACACCACCACTGAGTGCTGCCATGCTGGACATGCTGGAGCTTCAGTATGAACTGGAGTCCAAGGCAGCAAAGTGGTGCCACCATCGATATTGCTAATGCATTTTTCTCCATTCCTTTATCAGCAGAGTGCAGGCCACAGTTTGCTTTCACCTGGAGGGGTGTCCAGTACACCTGGAGCCAACTGCCCTAGGGGTGGAAATATAGCCCCGCTATTTGCCATGGACTGATCCAGACTACACTGGAAAAGGGTGAGGCTCCAGAACACTTACAGTACATCGATGACATCATCCTATAGGGCAACATAGCAGAGGAGGTTTTTGAGAAAGGGGAGAAGATAATCCAAATCCTCCTGAAAGCTGGTTTTGCCATAAAACAATGGGAGCCCAAAATTGGGGAGTACCATTCCTAAACCATGACAGTCACACCCTGTTTGCCTACCTTATTTGCCCCACTCCTGGCTGCTTCTTGGGTACGTCTTTTGTACCTGTGGGGGTTGGTCACCTTCACTCCTGGCACTGCCCACACTGAGTTAGAGCTGCTGCTTATCTAGCTTTTCACACTTCCTGCTCTGGCTGAGGCTGGTGTGCCCTCTGTCTCTCTGAGCTAGGTTCACAGTTTTGCTGGTTTTTGGAAAGTTCTCAGCACGATCCTCCACTCCAGAGCATGTCTGCCAGAGCAGTTTACCTCGGAGACATATGATGATGCATCACATGCATGAGAGACAGGGCATGGAGGTCTTGGTCAGTTCATCATTCGAGATCTTTTTCTGTTCACTCAGGGAGAGGAGCCTTTTCTCTGCTATGCTGTGGAGTCCCTCCTATGGGCAGTTTTTCCAAAACTGTTGTGGCATGGGTCACTTGTCCACAGGCTGCACTCTTCTAAGGCTAGGCTGCTCTATTTTGTGAGCAAGAGCCCTCTCTCTCTATTCGGGTCTCCCACTAGATTACAGCTTTCTCTGGCATCCACCCACTCCAGCGTGACCACTTTTCTCATGGGCTACAAGTGAATGTGTGCATCCCCCATAGACTTCATGCATTACAGGGGGACAGTTTGTTTCACCATAGTCCTCACTACGACTTGCAGAGGAATCTCAGCTCCAACACTTGGAGTACCTCCTCCTACTCTTTCTTTTCCACTGACCTTGGTGCCATCATATTGTTTTCTCTAACATGTCCGTACTTCCTCCTCTGACTAGAAGAAAAACTGCTGCTTGTAGGTACCATTGCAAACAAGTTCCACTAATTCAAAGATTCTTTCAGGATCCTGCAGTGCCAAGAAGCTGATTTTATCCAGGTTCTGCATCAGGGAGTTGCCTATCACATTTTCAGTTGGCCACGCAGCCCCACTGCCACCATGTGCGCAGTGGCAGCCGCCACGGCGCTTGCACTATTTAACGCCTCTCTTCATGCAGGGCGCTGGGAAGGAGAAGCCGCCACCATCGCCTCTGCCCTTCTACCTGCAGCGTGGTTGGCTAGGGGCAGCCAGGCAGGCAAAGATTGCCTCAGTCTGCACTGAGATGGCGGAAGCCGCAGCAGCGGCCACAGCGCCTCCCCACCCCTGGGGAAAAAACTGCGTGTGCGCTGTTTTGATTTTCTTCTTAAATATGCCATCACAGAGGCGTTACCAACCTCTCTAATTGGGCAAGCAGTATGTCTATCTTCAGAGTCATCAGAAATTGGCTCTGTTGGACATGGTGGGAGCTTCTAGCAGCTTCTCACAGAAGCTACTCCTGTGCCCCCCCCCCCCCCAGCTACAAAAAAAAATCATGCTATGCCAAATCAACACAGCACTCCATTTAGCGTATTACAGACTTGCAGCACAGTGTTGCATTCTGTGTCATTTAGTAATTGTGAGAACAGGGATGTCCCAAAATTAAGAGTATTGTTTAGAAACCATTAGATGATTAGATGCAATGAAGCACTAGTCATTCTTTTTATAAGGTAAACTATCCTATATTTCTGGTGTTTTTGTTTGTAGGTACAGCAAGTACAGACTGTGCAACAGGTACAACATGTCTACCCAGCCCAGGTTCAGTATGTGGAGGGAAGTGACACAGTCTACACAAATGGAACAATGTAAGTTGGTAATTCATCTAAATTAGAATGTTTACTAAAATAATGCACTTTTCATGACATCATATGGGCTGCTATGTATGAATTAACAAAGAAAAATGTTTGAACAAAAACTTTATTTTTTGTCATATTAGATCATTATTTGAGTGAAAACAAGTAAGATTCATATCACTTGAATTAATCTAAAATGAATTCAGGTAATTATTACAGTTGGACAGTGTGAAGCTGTATATGCAGCATTTTGTTGTTTGGGGAAAAACTTGAGTTTATGGACAAGTTATGCTGATAGGAAGTATGATCTAAATTTGTCATAATATGATCATCTGTGTAATAAAGTAGTCTCCATGTGGGGCTCTATTCTTCTAGTTGAAATTTTACTGGGAAGTTCCTAAATTGCTGAGGCAGCTGTAGTCATTACTTACAGAAAACAATTATATAATTTCTTTACTGTTTTAAGTGCAATGATATACATATTATTTTTTCCAAATGAAGGAAGGTAGAAGAAGGAGAATATGTCCTTTTGCTTCTCTCTCAGACTCTTCTATTTCCTGTGCTTTTCTTGCTTTGATGAACATGGTTTTCTACCATCAAATTCCTTTCTCCCATGTTCAAACTTAATAGAATAATTTAGGTCAAAAGAGACCTCTAGAGGTTATATGGTAAAACCCACCCACACAGTCAGAGTAGGACTAACTTCAAAGTTGCTCAGGAAGAACCTTCCCTCCTTCTTTTTCCAGTTAAGTCTAAATATATCCCCTGAAACTTCTGATATAAGGTTATGGGAGAAGCAAAAGGCCTGTAGAAGACTTTTTTGGTACCAGCAAATGTCCATTGATGATAATCTGGCATTGACACACAAAAGTCAACAACACTATTGGGTTCTGATACTGATGTTAACACTTGCAGCATCCTCTTCACAGACATATTTTGCCAAATTTATTCTTCAGATAAACTTTTTCAACACTCTCGTGTTCCCTTATTTTCTTTACTCTTATAATATCTAAGCAATCTTCTGTCATAAATGGGTCTGTTAAGACATGCTTATTATTAAGAATTACCAATGTGCCCCTGTTTAAGATACTGTAAAAATGGAAAGTTACTCATCACATTGTTAAACTGTAATCGAAGACTGAAAATATCTCTGTAGAATGTCTGATCAGGCTAACTTCTATTTGAAAAATGTCAGCCAAAGACACTGAACTGTTGAGACAAAAGAAAACATATTTCTTCATCCACATTTGTTTTTCTTTTAAAAGCTCTAGTGCTTCTCCTCTTTAAATTATGGGCAGTGATATTGGGAATGTATCGTTTATTGCAGTTCATGGCATTTTACCTGACCTTATAGCTCAAATATATTAAGCAGAGGATTGTTTGTTTTATCCTGTTTATATGTTAATTGCTCCAAAGACCAATGGATGTCCTCCAGATGACCTTAAATGGGGTATTTCCTTGCACCTGCTGCTTTTGCTATTAATTATATGAACTCTTGTTTCTAGTACCTAATCTATTAACAAAGAGTCTATTCCATTCCATATACAGGGCCTAGGATATATGGTTGAAGGAAGTTTTCCTATTAAAATAGAGAAAGGAGCAAGTACTAAACCCATGGTGAGAATGGAAAATGCTCTATGACAACATGGATATTCTTTCATTCTCTTTTTTTTGTCATGTGCTAGCTTGATTCTAATGCAACCCTTAAGACCTCCCAAGAGATCACTTGCTCATGAAAACAGCAACTAGGCCCAGTCGGTGAGGAAGAAAGGAAAACATGAGTTGTCTGATTCAGAATAGTGAAACTGTGATCGAGTGAGCAGGAAAGGGTTCTGGTCTTAGATAAAGAGCTGATGGAAGCCAAGAACCAGTGGGTAGAAATAAGGAAGTCTGGTGGCAGACATAGAAATCTGACAAAATGTCAAAATGCATGGTTGTCTGGGAAAAAGAACTTTAAAAAGCAAAACAAAACAAAAATAAAAGTACTGACTGGATAAACAGCCCAGAAAAGTTGTCTCCATACAGGAGATGATGCCTATATGATTTTCCTGGTGTAACTCCTTACAATTTTATTTGTAGATAGCACCTTAAAAGGCTATGGAAGGAGGAGCTGGCTGAGGTGACATAGCTTGTAGTCCTATTTCATCCACCAGTAAGCTGTATTTTAGTATGGCTGATAATTTACCATAGAAAAATTTATGCCATAAGGGACATCCAGAGGCTATCTAGTCCAACCCTCTGCTCAAAGTAAGTCTAATTACATCAGGTTGCTCAGGGACCTGTCCCATAAAGTCGTGTACAGCTCCAGGGATAGAGGTTGTGTACACCTCCAAGGATAGGGGAGGTTCCTGAGTGTAGCAGCCACAGGGCCTGCAAGGCCTCCCTGGCAGTCAGTTGTCTAAGATAAGAAATGCCTAGTTACAATGACTGAACCAAGAGACCCCTCTTCCACCTCAGACCCTTGTTATCTCTCTGTAAGACGATAGGTCATATTTACCTCGACCCTTACTATTGGACTGTTTCCCAAAAGCCACATACCCTATCTAAACCCCTTCCTCTGCCCAGTTCGGCAGAAGAGCTGTCACTGTCACCCTTCGTAGAGGCTGCCAATAAAGACACATCTGTGGAACCTCATACAGCCTTCTCCTCTCTCATCTCTGCATCTGCTGAGGCATTTAGCAAGCAGAGCTGAAATCACTAAAGAGCTGAATTCACCAAAGAGCTGATCTCATTTAAGAGCTGAGCTGCTTGTTAAGATTGCCTGTGGCTGGGAGCCTGCCTGAGGCACCTGGACAGGTTGTGCTTAGCGGTACTCCTCTATCCAGGACACTGATGGCTGATGGGGTTAGACAGACCCCGAGAACCCCACCGTTATACATGAGGACCAGAAGAAAGCAAATGACACTTCAGTCTTCAAAAAGGGCAAGAGGAAGGATCTGGGGAAATACAGGCTGGTCAGCCTCACCTCTATTCCTGTGAAGATGATGGAAAAAATAATCTTGTAAGCCATTTCCTGGCACACAATGGACACAGGGTGATTTGGAGTAGTCACCATGGATTTGCAAAAGGCAAATTATGCTTGGCCAACCTGCAAGCCTTCTGCAAGTCAACTAGCTTGGTGGATGAGGGGAGAGCAGCAGAAAGCTTTCAACGCTGTCTCATATGACATCATCATAGACAAGCTGACAAAGTGCAGGTTAGATAAGTGGACAGTGAGGTGGACTGAAAAGTGGCTGAACTGCTGGGCTCAGAAGGTTGTGATGAGAAGCCTAAAGTCTAGCTGGACATCAGCATCTAGTGGTGTTTCCCTGGGCTGATCCTTGGGCCAATACTGTTTAACAACTTCATTAATGACCTGAACAATGTGACAGAGAGCACCCTCAGCAAGTTTTCAGATGGTACAAAATTGGGAGGAGCATTTGATAGACCAGATGGCTGTTGTGCCTTCAGAAGGATCTCAACAGACTGGAGAAATGGGCAGACAGGACCCTCATGCAGTCTATTAAAGGGAAATGCCAAGTCCTGCCCCTGGGTAGGAATAACATGATGCACCAGTACAAGGCAGGGGCTGACTGGCTGGAAAGCAGCTTTGCAGCAAAGGACATGGGGGTCCTGGCAGAAAATTAGCCAGTAATGTGCCCTTGCATCAAAGGAGGTCAATAGTATCCTGAGCTGCATTAGGAACAGTGTTGACAGGAGATTGTGGGAGGTAAACCTTTCTCTCTACTCAGCACTGGAGAGGCCACACCTGTAGTACTGTGTGGAGTTATGAACTCCTCAGTACAAGAAAGTCATGGAAATACTGTAACAAGTTCAGCAAAGAGCCACTGCAGTGATGAAAGGACTGAAGCATCTCCTACAGGAACAGATGGTGAAAGAGCTGGGACAGAATCATAAAACCATAGGATCAGTGAAGTTTAAAAAGACCTTTAAAATCATTCAGTCCAAGTATTAACCTAATACTGTGGTCTAGCACTAAACCATGTCCCTAAGTGCCTTGTCTTTATGTCTTGCCAAATGCCTTCAGGGATGTTGAATCAGGATCACAGAATAGGTAAGGTTTGAAGGCACCACAGTGGGTCATCTGGTCCCACCTCCCTGCTCAAGCAGGGTCAATCCACAGCACATGGCACAGGATTGTGTCCAGACAGTTATTGAATATCTCCAGTGAGGGAGACTCTACAAGCTCTCCAGGTAATATTCTTGTGCTTGTGTTGGAGAATTTTGCTCAGACATGGCTTTAAGGAAAAAAGGCCATGAACATATACAGCTGGTTAAAAAATAAAAGGCAGCTGTAAGCAGCAAGTTCTCAGGCTTTTCCCTTAACAACAGTAAACACCACATCCTTGAGGAAGTGGTGAGAAAGGCATGGTGCAAAACATGGAGGCCTTGAGAATGATAAATAACAAGTCACTAACAGGATGAGAAAAACAAGTATTAGTCTCAACAAGAAAACCACAGGTTTCGGCAACAAAGGAGGGGTTGGTGTGTAATCTGTAACCAATGATGAGCTCGGGTTTTGTAATATGTATAAGCTTAATTAACACCGCTATAAAAGTGTGTAAGCTAGATCAATAAATTGGAGTTCGATGCTGATCAATAAGGATGTGGTCGACTCCCTTCGCTTCCTCATGCTTGGTCACCCACACAGTAAAGAAGTTCTTCCTCATATTCAGGTGGAACTGCCTGTGCATCAGTTTCTGCCCATTGCCTTTTGTCCTATTGCTCGGCACCACTGAGACCCTGGCTTCATCTTCTTGGCACCCTCCCTTCAGATACTTATAGACATCGATGAGGTGCCCTCTCAGACATATCTTCTTGAGGCTTAACAAGCCTGACTCCCTCAGCCTGTTCTCATAAGAGAGATGCTCCAGTCCCTTAATCAACTTTTTAGCCCTTTGCTGGACCCGGTCCAGGAGGTCCATGTCTCTCTTGTACTGAGGAGCCCAGAACTGGACACAGCACTCCAGGTGAGGCCTAACCAGGGCTGAGTAGAGGGGCAGGATTGTTGT